GAAACGAAATAACCCTAGGGAAATAAGTAGATTCCAGTAGTGAATTGTTTACATATTCTTCATCCACTTCAAGTGCCCTAATGCCATGTGTCGTCGGTTAGCCCACATCATCCGTCGTCATCCTCCAGTCTGAACGAGCCGATTAGATGTGAGCCGACATGATCTGGTTCTGCTTCGCCAGACTCCCATAGGTGCTAGGTGCAGGCAATCGCACGCCCTGGTTACTTCACCAGCGAGAGAGGTGGCCTTGCTGCTTCGCCAGGAAGGAATGTGTACAGTACCTATATCGAAACTTTCTGCGCGTGCCACGTGGCAACTGCGTCCGTCGATTCCGCATCGTGCACAGCCCAAAAAACGGTTGATAACAACCGGCAAATCAACCGGTTGACCATTAGCATTTCTATAAGTGATTAGCCAAGGTGACCATATATATATATATATATATATATATATATATATATATATATATATATATATACTTTCTATGATGTGTTTGACACATTTTTTTTGAAACTAGCGTTTGACACAGTTTGGTGTGCACAATATATATAGTTTCAAAGCTCCGGCTATCGACTTCTTTTCCAGTACTATAATTGAACATATGAAAAATGTTGAAGTAAATTTGTCTTGAAGATTATTTCATAATGTACTACAATCTATTTTTGAAAAGTAATCAGAGATTCCATTTTGTGGAGTTCACATTTACGTAAACAAATCACTTATATTTTATTTGTGACCAGATAGAGCACTTTGCCTAGCTACACTGTGCGTGTGACGGAGATGTGTGAGGTAGAAAGAAAGCAGATAGATCAACTGGAAGACCTCAGTAATCCCTGCCCTACCGGAATCAAGCATGCATTCGTGACAACGTACGATAGGGTCGTATGTGTGCACACAATTGCTAAACTGAGCAAGGACACAGAGATCTATGGCTAGCTTCCAACATCATCTACAGCGTGTGTGGAGCTAATTCAAAGTCAAAAAGCAAAGTTTGAGTGTTGCCCCTGGCATTGGCGACCTCATCCTGCCTGCATCACAAGTTTGTCTAGCACATAAAAACTTTGATCAATCCCTTTCATAAAAAATCTCCCTCAGATTTTGGCTAGGATTGAGATGAACTCAAGTCAGAAAAGGCCCAAAGGCCAGGCCATACAGGGAGCCGAGAACCATTAGGAACTCTTTTGCTGGAACGTAGGGTGTCTATATAAAACACAGGATTATTAGACTTGCACGTCACTTGCAATCCTACAACAATTGAAAATACAGGTTTCTAATTGAGTATTTGGATAAAATACGTGACTGGAAAAATATAGGAATTAGAAGAGAGAGATTGACACAAAGCAATGTTTCCAAGAGGTTGGACCTCAAGTTAGAATTCCCCTAAAATTCCTATGGATGATCCATTCCATATGAATTTTGTTGAATTTTAGGATGACCAATCCTTTTATTCTTTTAAAGGCTACATAGAAAAAATTCCTACAGGTTAGCAATCTAAAAATTTCCTTCATGAATCCTATGTTCAAGACCTTACCCCATACTACCATTTTTTTTAGATAATGGATTTTTATTAATGCGGCCTCTATATTCATGAAGAATATACACAGTCAATAGGATACAGGAGCACTAAGACTCACACCTCAACAAACAGGAGAACACACAACCAAAAAAAAGTGAGAAAACTATGACCTTGGCACATCCCTGCTTCCCGACATCCTCTCCTAAAATGGCCAGATCTTGTGAGTGGAAGTCGTTAAGTCGCCGCCGCCCCTAGTGCGCCACCGGTGTGAACCTCCGCTGGCGCCATCTTCATCCGCTTCAAGTGCCCTAATGCCATGTGTCGTCTGTTAGCCCACATCATCCGTCATCATCGTCCAGTCTGAACTAGCCGATCAGACAACGTGAGCCGACATGATCCGGTTCTGCTTCGCCGGACTCCCATAGGTGCTAGGTGCAAGCTATCGCACACCCTGGCTACTTCACCAGCGAGAGAGGTGGCCTTGCCGCTTCGCCAGGAAGGAACATGTACAGTACCTATATCGAAACTGCGTCCGTCGATTCCGCATCGCGCACAGCCCAAAAATCGGTTGATAACAACCGGCGAATCAACTGGCTGACCATTAGCATTTCTATAAGTGATTAGCCAAGGTGACCATATATATATATATATATATATATATATACTTTCTATGATGTGTTTGACACATTTTTTTTTTGAAACTAGCGTTTGACACAGTTTGGTGTGCACTATATATATACTTTCAAAGCTCCGGCTATTGACATCTTTTCCAGTACTATAATTGAACATATGAAAAATGTTGAAGTAAATTTGTCTTGAAGATTATTTCATAATGTACTACAATCTATTTTTGAAAAGTAATCAGAGATTCCGTTTTGTGGAGTTCACAATTACGTAAACAAATCACTTATATTTTATTTGTGACCAGATAGAGCACTTTGCCTAGCTACACTGTGCGTGTGACGGAGATGTGTGAGGTAGAAAGAAAGCAGATAGATCAACTGGAAGACCTCAGTAATCCCTGCCCTACAGGATCAAGCATGCATTCGTAACAACGTACGATAGGGTCGTATGTGTGCACACAATTGCTAAACTGAGCAGGGACACAGAGATCTATAGCTAGCTTCCAACATCTTCTACAGCGTGTGTGGAGCTAATTCAAAGTCAAAAAGCAAAGTTTGAGTGTTGCCGCTGGCATTGGCGACCTCATCCTGCCTGCATCACAAGTTTGTCTGCCCCATAAAAACTTTGATCAATCCCTTTCAGAAAAAATCTCCTCGGATTTTGGCTAGGATTGAGATCAACTCAAGTCAGAAAAGGCCCAAAGGCCAGGCCATACAGGAGCCGAGAACCATTAGGAACTCTTTGGAACGTAGGGTGTCTATATAAAACACAGGATTATTAGACTTGCACGTCACTTGCAATCCTACAACAATTGAAAATACAGGTTTCTAATTGAGTATTTGGATAAAATACGTGACTGGAAAAATATAGGAATTAGAGAAGAGAGAGATTGACACAGAGCAATGTTTCCAAGAGGTTGGACCTCAAGTTAGAATTCCCCTAAAATTCCTATGGATGATCCATTCCATATGAATTTTGTAGAATTTTAGGATGACCAATCCTTTTTTTTCTTTTAAAGGCTACATAGAAAAAATTCCTACAGGTTAGCAATATAAAAATTTCCTTCATGAATCCTATGTTCAGGACCTTACCCCATACTACCATTTTTTTTAGATAATGGATTTTTATTAATGCGGCCTCTATATTCATGAAGAATATACACAACCAATAGGATACAGGAGCACTAAGACTCACACCTCAACAAAGAGGAGAACACACAACAAAAAAAAAGTGAGAAAACTATGACCTTGGCACATCCCTGCTTCCCGACATCCTCTCCTAAAATGGCCAGATCTTGTGAATGGAAGTTGTTAAGTCGCCGCCGCCCCTAGTGCGCCACCGGTGTGAACCTCCGCTGGTGTCATCTTCATCCGCTTCAAGTGCCTAATGCCATGTGCCGTCGGTTAGCCCACATCATCTGTCGTCATCGTCCTGTCTGAACTAGCCGATCAGATGTGAGCCGACATGATCCGGTTCTGCGGACTCCCAGGCCACTGCCATCCCTAGGACACTTCTGCCTACGGAACCACCTCCGTTGCATCCACCTTCTCCTTGCCAAGGACTGGCCATCGATGCTTAGGCTGCTGGCCGATCAGCACGGACGGGCGTAGACCCAGGCACACACAAGCGCGCGCGTCTTTGGCCGCAACCCTGTCCACTTGGGTGCCACCTGGCCTAGCCATCGAGCGCGCGGGGGCACTGGTGCGCGTGGGCCTCCGGCCGCGGCCTCGGCCACCCGGCCGCCGCCTGACTCAGCTAACGTGCATGCACGAGGGCGCGCGGCGCGTCCACCCCGTCATTGCCCCTCCATCCACGTGATTACTAATACTGATGACCATAACAAGGGTCCTTTCTTCTTTAGGATTTGAATCCAGAATGGTGTGAAGTTTGGAATCATAACCTCTAGCCGCATGCCACGGACAAGATCTACACCTAAGATTAAAGCCATCATCCCTTGCTTTCATCCCTCTTAGGCCCTGTTTGTTTGTTTTGAAGTTTGGAATCCTAAGCTCTAGTCGCAAGCTGCAGACAAGACCTAAGATTAAAGCCACCATCCCTTGCTCTCATCCCTCTTAGGCCCTATTTGTTTGGCTTTCCAGCAGCTTTTGGTCCTCAAAGCTAGAAGCCCAAACAAAAAACTGGCTTTTAGTTCCAGCTTTGACTAGCCAGGAAGCCCACGAAAGCCACCTTTGTACAGAAAGCCCCAAAGCTCACAAGAAGTGGCTTCTTCTAGCTTTGGTGCAATATTTACCCACCTTGCCACTGGTTATGTTGCGAATCGTTTTCTTTTCTATCCGCGCGACGCTTCTTTCCCCTCCCCTGTCCGCCCGAGCGTCCGCTCCCTCGCTGTATCACGTCTGCACCGGCACCTGCACGAACCCGGCCGTGCTTCGCCATCTTTGCAGGGGATTGCTAGTGGCCAGGCTTGTCTCCGCCTTCTCGATCTGTAGGTGAGCAAATTCATTCCTAAACGGAATTGTTGTTCTTGTGTGAGCATGAAACTCAACCGCAGTGCTTACTCTCTCGACCTCTGTAGTGCTTATTCTCTCGATCGATCTCTATGTGCTTTGCCATCCACATCCTCCAGCATAGCTTCGCCGCCGTGCAGTGTCCAGAGGTGAGCTTAGCAAGAACTTTTATGAGCTTGTATGAAAGTGTGATGAATTTGCTTGTGTGAAACTTGAATTGTGAACATAAGTCTAAAATTGGGGTTTTTATTACTAAAGCATCACTATGCAAGTATTAGGCCAGGTCTTATTGTGCTGGTGCTGATGAACGAACTTTGCCAAAATTGTTGTGATGTGCCAATTTCTTGAATTGATTGTCTTATTCTTCCATTTTCAATTTTCTTTTGTAGACTATGGAGGATCGAAGCCGCTGGATGTATCTTCGGAACTGTACTTGTGAAGAGTACTTAGGTGGTCTGAACTCTTTCCTAACTGTTGCAGAGGCGGATATGTTGAATGGACAGAAGTCATCAATGTGGTGTCCATGTGTTGACTGTGAGAATGAGAAGCAATACTCGAATTATATGACAGTCCATGCCCACTTAATCATTCGAGGATTCATGGATGACTACAGATATTGGAACAAACATGAAGAAGAAGGTGTCAATGACCGAGACCAGGCGCAGGCTGCTGGTCAGCATGATTGTGAGGAAGTACTTCATGAAACTTATGCAGGTGGCGAGGAAGCACCCTTTGATAATCAGGATCTATGTGATAAGGATGTAGCAGAGATTGTTGCCAACTATGATGCAGTCCATCTTGCTGAGAATCTGGACGAGATGGTGCGTGATGCCTTCGGCTTTGAGGAGTACACTGGTTTGGAGTTCAAAAAGCTGAAACAGCTATTGAAAGATATGAAGACCCCACTCTATCCTAGTTGCAATGAGAAGTATACGGAGTTGTCTGCTTCACTCAAACTTCTCCAGTTGAAGACAGCACATCATTGGACTAGCAAGAGCTTCAAAGAATTGCTAGAAGTGCTTAAGGATATGCTTCCCTAGGGGAACGAGATACCCAGGACTACATATGAGACCAAAAAGTTTGTTTGTCCAATGGGATTGAAGTTCGAGAAAATTCATGCTTACAAGAATGACTGCATCATGTTCCGTGGTGATAATGAAGCTCTCATTGAATGCCCCAAGCTTGGGCTTGGATCCAAACAAGAGAAACAAAACATTTTACTCTCAAAACATTGGAGAAATAGAGGACGAACAAGCTCACTGGCTGCCTGCAATTTATTCATGGCTCAGCACATACAACAATGTGTTTTCACACACTACTACAAAACAAGGATATTGTTGCACTTTGTTGTAACATATTCATCAATGTGTTCCAGTGAAATTTCATAGTAACACAAAATAGTGTGTTACAGACTTCGTTGTAACACAAAACACTTTCAATAATTATACTAACACAAAATTAATGTTACAAGCAAAATGTTACAAAAGTATACTATGTTGTAATACATAAATGGAACATATAAAATGTGTAACAAATATATGTCCTGTAGTAACACCAAATAATGTTGCAGTCCAAGTGTTACGAAGAAACATATATATGTGAACCTTCCTGTTCATAGGCGACATGGACATCGCACTTGGGTGTCATCAAGGCTGTTAGGCAATCACATCGTGGTAATCAGATGAGAACCAAGTAGCAATGAGCAGGCGATTAAAAAGGTTAGTTCGATGCCAGAGCCGATTGTCAATTTATTAGGCCGAGCTCAAGACACTCTAGATAGAGAGCTAAATCACAAGAGGAACAAGTACAACGGGGAACGAAAAAATGAAAAACAAAAAACAAAAAATGTGAAATTAAATTGGAGCAATATAGATATTTTGACGTTGTTGCGCGAACCCACGACCCAATGTAGCAAAAGGTCATGCTATATTGCATCGAAAAATGTCATCAAAAGGTCATGCTATATTGCATCAAAAAATGACATAGAGAATGACATAAGGTTCTATTGCTACTCATAACATATGTTGCAGTAGTGTAGTACATTTGGTTGCAAGTTATTAGACTTATTGCCACTCAAATTTGTTGGACCTGCATAGTCCTACACATGGGCCAACGGCAAAGAGGTTAGGCTAACCAGCTAGCCACTAGGCAAGCACGTTCAGTCATGTAACCTCTTATGCTAATCTACTGAATGTATAGAAGTGGTTGAGGTGTCTTGATCCTTTCAAATGTATAGAAGTAATTGAGTTGCTAGTTATGGCATGTACAACCCATTGGTAGGGTGTTATCTACAAGTTCTTGCTACATCACACTACAGACATGGTAAATCGAGAGCTCATATAGTGAGTCTATTTTAATACGTGCATTCAACCATGATCAAACATAAATAGTATCTCTATATACCATTTGTTGCTTCCTTCATACAGATCAGATTAAGCATAAATATGATGAACGTAATTACAGTATTCCTTGATAAAAATATCAACATAGTAACAGTAAGCTAGGTAGATAACTCGACATCAGGTTTCATACATGACAGTTTCACAATTGTCCACTTCTGACTATTGTTGGCTAAACCATCAAGGCCAATAGTGGTGTCCTATAGCTGAATGCATACATATTATATATTAGCTCACACAAGCACACTGGCAGCGCAAGCCAAAATAAGAACCATGGAATGGGGTAACATTGATCATTTAGTAATGGGAGCAAAGAACACACTCAGCTGGTGCTTCCTTGATCAGACAACTCCACACCTATAACCATAGAGATGAACAGGCTTAGGAATGAAATACCAATAGTCCACGATAAAGTAGACCTGTTAGATACTTTCAGGAAATAACCTGTTCCTGAAACACTTCAGGGCAGCAACTTGCCACCTTTTTCATCACCAGACATAGTACTTGTGTCTTGTGAGAGGAGGCTTTTATAACCTTCTATCATCTTGGCCTCTTTGTTCTGCATCACTGAAAGATGGGCAAGTCTTCTCCCTATGGTTATAACCTTCTACTTGTGTCTCTTTGCATTTCTAGTACCTTCATGTGGTTTCATTAGCTTATGTCTGAATTTTACTGAATCTGTCAAGCTAATCCCAACAATGCAATTGTTCATGAAAGGTACATAATCAACATCCTGAACACATAAATCTGAACATACTAGAGTTGTTTAGGTAGCCCATCAACATCCTGTGCACATTGGTAAATTATACTGAAATGTAACACTATTGCACCCTCGCATTTATATGGGAGATATTATATACTGATATATCCTCCCTTTGGGGCTATTATTCAATACAGGTGCTTTTATATCTTCCACTGTACAGTACGTACACACTTTGAAATGCTTGAAACAACATAGATGAACTTACACTTATCCATCGATTGTTTCTTCACATGTATGTGCATGAGAAGGTGAGACAGAAGGTGGTTTGTGGAGAGCCAATTTCTGATAGACGTCCTGCATTTCTGGCCTGAACTGAGGAGAAGGTTGCAGGCAATCAAATGCAACTTTGACAAGCAAAGAGATTTCTTTCATCTCCACCATTGTTGGTGATGATAAGCGTTGGTCCAACATATCCTCTACTGCAAGATGATGCTGTTCCAAGGAAGCAATGGACTGTAGCTCTCTGGGGTATCTCCCCATCACAATCTCCAACACGACGACACCAAAACTATAGACATCACATTTTGTTGTCACCACTGATGTGTAAGAAAGCTCTACATCAAAATAAAAGCAACTGACAACAGTCAAACATACTGACAAAACAAAGTGAAATTTTCATATTTGCAAATCGTAACATGAATATATTTGCTATGTGAAAGAAAAAGCTAACTGACCACATACCAGGTGCTATATATCCATATGTTCCAGCTAGTTCGCTCCGGTTGGATGAATACGGTTTGAGCATCCTTGCTATTCCAAAATCTGAAACATAAGCCTTAAAAGCTGCATCCAGTAAGATGTTGTTGTTTGTTATATCACGATGGATTATCGGTGGGTTGCATTCATGGTGCAAGTAGTAGATAGCTTGAGCTACATCTCTTGCAATGGCAACTCGCTTCTGCCAGACCAACTCCTTTGCAAGATCCTCAGTTTCCAAGATAATGTGAAGGTTTCCTCTCTCAATGTAATCGTACACTAAAAATTTGTACCTTGGATGGGAGCAAAATCCATACAACTTGACGATGCTTCTATGCCGTATCTTTGTCAGCACTTCAATTTCACTAAGGAATCTATTCTCATCACTAATCCCTTCTTCAGTTGGGTGAAGCTTTTTCACCGCAACTAATCTCCCTCCTTGAAGCTGTGCCTTGTAGACTGTGCCCCGAAACCCCCTGATCCAATGAGGTACCTATCACTGAAATTTTATGTTACCCTAGTGATGTCCTCAGACACTAGTTTCCCATCAAAATTCAATACCGAGAGAACATCCCTTGTATCTGTAACTGTTGTAATTTGTGGTCTTTTCCTTTTTCGAAGGATCATTACTAACACAACAATTGAGAGAATAATAACTTTGTGGCATTCCTTTATTGGAGTTGAAGAGCATGTGGGCAGGCCTGAGATATTACCACAGAGACCTTTGTTGTGGCGGAACCATTTTGCTGAGGCATTGTGGAATAGTTGTCCTATTGGAAGAGGCCCTTCCAAGTTGTTGTATGACACATGAAGTGTTGACAGACTAGCCATGCTACCAATGGAGGAAGGAATGCTTCCACTGAACTGATTATGGGAAAGGTTTAGTTCCTCCAACATCACCAAGTTTCCAAGTTCTACAGGTAGCTTGCCCCTGAGTTTGTTGCTGCTTACATCCAACACCATCTGTAGCCCTCCCAGGTTACCAATAGTCGTTGGCAGAGGTCCACTCAAGTTGTTGTTGTTAACCCTTAAGGATATTAGCATAGTACAACTCCCAAGCTCTTGTGGTATTGATCCACTCAACTTATTTGCAGATATATCAAGGTATTGTAAAATTTGCAGCTGACCAAATTCAGGTGGTATATTACCTGAAAGTTTGTTCTGCGATAAGTTGAGGAAGTACAGGTTGGCAGGATTGCTGAATTCTGCTGGTATACTGCCCGTTAGGTTGTTGGCATGTATTGTAAGTACCTCTAGTTTTCCAAGGTTTGAAAGCTCTGGAGGTAAGCTTCCTGTTATCATGTTTTCTTCCATAACAAAAATGGTCAAATTGATGTTTGAAGCCCAGGTTTTGGACAAATACCCAAAAAAGTTGTTTCTATCCAACTTTGCTTTGACAAGTCGGGGATGTGGCCCAAAAGATGATATATCTCCTGTCATTTGTTGGAACTAAGGGAAAGAATCTTCAAGCTCCTACATGTTTCAAGGCTTATAGGAATTGTGCCAGTGAACATGTTGTTACTAACGTCGAAACTTAGAAGATTCCCGCCTTTGCATAGATCAGAGGGCAGTTCCCCTAACAGAGAGTTGTATGCCAAATCAACATCTGTTAAGTATGTAAATTTTATCGAATTCTCATGGCAAAGGACCTGACAGCTTGTTCGATAAAAGACGTAGGACTCTTATGCTTGTGAGGTTTGTGAAAGTTGCTGGGATGGAACCTGAAATCTTGTTTTCGGATAAAGACAAGGAATGGAGATCCACCAAAGCGCCAATCTCTGCAGGGATGGATCCAACGAACTGGTTTTCAATGAGGCTAAGAAAGTTTAGCATAGTAAGGTTCCCCATGCTCGGTGGAATGGGGCCACTTAGCTCTGGTTGGCGTCTAAAAACAGCTCGCTTATATTGGAAAGTGAGATGCTGGTGAGCTAGCACCTTGGTGATGAGCGATTGACAACACGGTGTGCGTGTGACGTGTCTCTCGGCAGGTTGTGGTTGTAGGTGACAGGTGGAGACAAGGTACATGCGGCGACGAGTGAAGAACGAGGATAGGATGCCGTGCCGAAGAACCGTGGGGGCGGAGAAGGGCGGATCGAGGCTTGCGTTCGAGGGACAGGCGATCGTGTGGTGTACGTCTACTGTACCTGGCTACACGGTTGGAGGACGTCGAGGGAGGTTTCCAGATTACGCCACAAAATCCGGGGTTCGCTGGTTGAGCCACAAAGCCATGCATCGTACCGGGACGCTCGTGCGGCGTGCGTTGGCCGAAGATGGAAATTCTGGCGATCGCGATACGATTTCGGATGGTCGTGCGGCGACATCGCGAGGATCACATCGCGGAGATGGAGGGATCGTGGACATCGCGGAATTTGCCATGGAGGACGTAATTGGAATTTACGCCCCTACGTTGAATTTATTTAGCGTAGGGGTTATGTGAAAATAGGTCGTGCCACCCTTTGGAGATATAAATATGTGGCACCTAGGGTTGAGAGTTGTAGGACGTTTTGGACTCGGCGAGTT